ACACATATCAGTTTGCAAGTTTGAGTATCAGGCCTGATGGCACCAGTATCAGTTTATGAGAATTAGTTATACCTGTGGGTATCCGATTCAGTATTTTGGGGGCAGTGATTTCGGGCAAAAGTGATCAGTAGTAGGTTACAGTTATTCAGCTATACTAGCGTCTGTTCTGATTGGTCCAAAATGCTGCGTGTTTTCTCTTTCAGTTCAGAGAGTTGATACAGAATAGCTAGTGTTCCCCCTTGCTGAGGCAAGACAGATATCTGATCCGTCAGTCACCATTCAGTACAGCGGACTTATCATGACGCAGAATTCAGAGGAGATTGTGGTTATGACGGCCGCATTAGATCAAGGAATCACTCTGCAAAGCGAGACCAATGTCGATGTACTGCATCACCCAGGTCGCCTGTCGCGCACCCGGTCTGGACCCCCCAGTTGTATCAGGCTCGTGAGCCCACCACATTCAAATTGATGGGAATGATAGGTGACCTCCAGAGGTCCGTGGCAGATCTCACTTACGGAATGTCAACTTCGCTACCAGCCGCACCGTATGCCGGGAATTTTGTACCACAAGAGCCCCCACTGTTGGGACGGATTGTGATCGAACTTAGCCAACCCGAGGTGGCCTCCAACTATAACAATGACGTATCAACATCAACCCAAACCCTCGATCAGGATGAGGCCAGAGTCAAGAACGAAATGAAGGCAGATGCCGATCCCATTGAACAACTGCTATGGGCAGTCGAGGCTTTGAAAACCGAGCGGATGAGTAAACAATAGGTATTCGCAGTCGTAGCTAAGGCTGTGGATGATGTTTTCCCCACTCCAACCAAAGGCAGTACAAGCCAGTTAGAAAATCGGGATAGGCCCCGTCATGCCAGAATAGTTCCTTCCACTCCCAACCTGGGAAAGATCAGAAAGCCAAGGCAGCGCCTGCCATCCCTTTCGCTAGTGCATCCAGCAAGAATACTCAACCTTCAAAGTACCTGCCCCGAGGGCGCAGGGTCTTTCACGCTCTCTATATGCCATTGTCAAAGGCACTTTAGATCCTTGCCGAAAGGGGGCATCTTAAACCCTTGGAGCCTCAGCCTCTTCCATAGAATCTCCCTACTACACATGATGCTGCCTTGTACTGTGCGTACCACCAGTAAACCGGTCATGCTACCGACAATTGTTTTCGCCTCCGTCATGAGGTGCAAGACTTGATCGACAACGAAGTTATCCTCCCACCCACCTCAGCCAAGTCCGTTACTACCCAGTTATTGGATTTTGAGGACGCAGATACTGCAAGTATGTAATCAGAAAGTGAACCACCTGCGGGCGATGCTCGGCATATTTTGGGATGTGGCATCTGGCACGCATTTTTGGAGCATCTGCGAATGCTTAGTTGTAAATTCTGGTTTGGGGTCGAGTCAGTCTTTGTTTTGTTTTGAGTCTGTTTCATTGTCTTGAGTCAGTCCTTTTGCTTATGGTGTCTGTCTTGTTTCTGTAGCGCAGATGTCAGTCCCCTTTGTATACAAGGTCGGGTGATTCCGGAGCTGTTGCCTCGAACACCGTTTTGTTTTGTAATTACCTTTTGCTTTTCTTTTGAGTCTGTCTCTGTCGTGGAGCCAGTTGCAACCAGGGAATCTGAATGAAACAGCTACGGCTATCATGTTTCCATGCTTACTACTATTCTGAATTAGTTGTGCCAGGGGACTTGAATGGGACAGCAGTACATTCCACTTGTTCTCTTGTGCCTTGAAAATCATTACATTGGCCTAAGTTTTTCAAAACTTTTTGAACACTGCGGTGAAAACAAAGAGGAAGGAATTCCTCGGGTTTTGCAAACTTTGATCAAATTGAGAGAAAGAGAGGCGTGCTAAGCCCTTAATGATTGGAATCATGCTTGTCAGTGTGAGTACTGAGAAGGACCCTGGCTTGATCCAGACTGGTTCCACACTATCTTCAGTGCGAGCGATTTGTCGCTTCTTTGAAAACTTTCAAAAACAAAATATTTTGCGTGGTCCTGCGAAGACCTGTGTGGGATCACTCTTGAGATTGTGCAGCTTAGGATCGCTCTCAGCCTCAAGACTCGAGCCCTTGTTTTAAAGCCTTGAACCACGATTTGGAGCGTTCAACGATCGACCATCAAGAGAGGCCTGTGTGGACAGATTGGAGAAGAAGTGAAGAAGTATCTCATTTTGGTCAAAACTGTTTTAGGAAGAAAACAAAAAAATGGTCAAAATGATGAACTAGGGGCACAGTTGAGTCAGGTGTTCTGTCTTTCCCCGTCGTCAACATACTTGCCAAGAAGGGCACTACTGAAGCTGTCATTAAAGGGCTGAAAGCTCTCTTAACCTCCGAGCAACGAGGTATCAAACCAAGTGGGAAGCACGAATCTGAAGGGATCAAGGTACTCCGTTCCCTTTACCTGGGGCATCGACCAAACACCACCAGAAGAAACAGCCGTGAGCTAACCATGTTGGGCGTGAATCCACAACTTCCTATTCATCCATTAAAAATCCTGGGGAGGGATAAAAATGAGAGAATAAAGAATAGAGAGGTGTAAGTTGAGAAAAAGAGTGAGCAAAAAGGGTGTTGAGAGAAAAACCGAGCCTAAGGGCCGAGTGATGTAAGAATCACAAATAAGAAAGGATGGGAAACAATACCCAAAGAAACTGGCTCCTCATGATCTAAGGTCCCCGTCTCCGTTAACACATCCGTTTGTCGTGTCTTTTGTCTTGTTTACTTCAACCTTTGTTATGAGTCTTTTCCGAGTGTGTCTCGTTGTGTTTAGGTTGTTTACGTTTTTTGTCTCCGCTGTTGAGTTATTCTCGCTATGTCCAGTTGTAGGCTCACTACCCCGGTTTAAAAAAAAAAAAACCTTCTTCAATTTCAAAAATTAATCGTTTTGTGCTCAGAATGTTGTGCCATTCTCCACATTTGTGCAAAAACATGATTTGGTTCTTTCATACGACTGCAGGGGCCACCCCTGATAAGTGTGAACAGGAAAAACTGGGCCTCTCTGAAGCTTTTGGGTTTCAGATCGCATTTGAGTGTGCTTCAACTTCAGTAGATTCAACCTTCATGGTCCGTCTTGTCAGATTGGGTTGCTTGTTCAGGATCCGCTGTGTGCAAAATGAACCAAGCGTTGTGTTATGAGCTGTATGCAGATTAATCCCCAGTAGAGTATGAGCCGAGTGTTCAGAATGTGCAGTGGTTGGTATGGGTTGTTTTGCTGTTGGCTGGTTCGTTATCCGATTATTACAATGCAAGTGTTCAATTTTCAGACAGCAGATCAATTTCATTTACATTGAGGTGCAACATGATGCAATGCGATGCAATATATGAAATGTACAAATGCAACACTTTTTCAAACAAAAAGTTTGTTTCATTTCATCATCTTTTTCAAGTACATGGTTTTGAAAATAAAAATCTGCCTGCAGTAGTACAAGGTACTCTAGCTACCAGCAAAAGGTACAAAAGAAAAAGAAAAAGAAAAATAGCAAAAATCTGGATCAATGACAAAGGATCTCAAGCCTGGGAGTCCGTCCTAGTCCTCTTCCTGGACGAAGGTCCAGGAGCATCATCAGCGCTGTCATCTGAGCCCGAGTCCGAGCTGTCTCTGGTCTCCTCCTCCGACGACTCTGCCTTCGCCTCCGCCTCCGACTCTGACTCCTTGTCATCGTCATCAGGGACTGGAGCCCGCGAGCTACTCCCGACGTGAGTGCGCCCCGCCTTGGTGCGGGGGAATACTCTGCCCTATCCATCTCCTTCGGCAGGAGCAGAAGGCCTGGCTGGAACACCTCCCATAGTGGGAATCTGGAAAAGAGGCTGAAAAATATAAGAGGCAAACGTATCAGTATGCCGTGAGCAGTTTATCAGTGCAAAATGCAGTGTATGAGTACAGTGTGTGAATGCCGTGATCAGTTTATCAATGCAGAATGTAGTGTATGAGTGCAGTGTACGAATGCCATGAGCAGTTTATCAGTGCAGAATGCAGTGTATGAGTACAGTGTGTGAATACCGTGAGCAGCTTATCAAGTGTTGTGTTGTGCACCAGATTATGTGAAGTAGCTTATGTGTATGGTTTGAGACCGTGATCAGAAGAACATACCGGAATACTATAAAGGGCTAGGAGGTCGAAAGTCCGCTGCAACATCCCCATCATGGAGGCATTTAGCTCCAAGGACTGCCAGGTATACTCAGAAGAAGCCTGCGAAAGTATCAAACGCATCAGTATTCTGCGGACTATCAAATAAACTGAAATGAAATACAAGATGCATAAAATGTAGTAATACATACTGGAGGCAAGTCATGGAAACCGACCAACTCGTGGTCAGCCGGAGGAGGAGCAAAAGGGGATCTGGTAGGTCGTCCCACCCTGCCCTCTGTATGTCAGCGAAGTGGGCAGTGCAGGCTAGCCACCCCCCCCGCCCTCTCTGAACTCCACCCCTGCCGCGGACCCGAGCTCTCCTCGATGCTCCTGTCCCAGCCCCCGCTCCTGCCCTAGCTGTCGGCGCCGCGGGCCTCTCTCCCTGAACTCGACGGCCACCGCTCAGAGGTCGCATAACATACATCCGAACGTACTCTGAGTAGTCACCCTCGCCCCTAAAGCCCTCCGCGTCCCAGCCGATCGTGTAATCGGCCATCTCCTCGGCAGTGCACCTTTCGATGTCCCTCATATGGGTAGGAGGCGGACCCGGAACTATCTGCTCTGGCAAACCCAAGGTCTGGTGTAAGAAACGCTCACCCAGGTACCAAGCCCGACAAACCGGGCCCTCCAGTAAAATCCTGAAACGTGCAGTCTCTTCTGCACTAGCAAATCGATCTCGAATCATCGCAGGCAATGGAGCCCAAGGCTGCCAAGTGATCTGTACATGACATGCTGTTTGTTATCTACTATTATTGAAAATACAGTGTAAAACCAAGCCAAATAAAGCTCTAAAAGTTGAACATACCTCTGCGGGGGTGATGGTGTCGAAGTAGCGGCGGAAGAAAATAAACGTCTCCTGGGGCCTCCGCACGCACCTCATGTCAAAGCGGCGCGAGAACGGAACAACGAGAAGGGTCTCCACGTCTGGCACTGGGGCGAGTCTCGAAAAGTAGGCGTAGACCCACAACTACAGAGCAAATACCAGTAGGATTATCAGATAAAGCAGAATGCAGAATAAAGCAAAAATTGCAGAACCGTGTATTGTGCAGTGTATTGTGCAGAGCATACAGTGTGTGCAGTGTACAGTCAGTGTAAAGCAGGGTATATGTGCGCCGTGTGTGCAATGTACATTCAGTGTGAAGCAGACCGCAGTGTGTGTAGTGTACAGAGTACAGAAAATGAAAGGTAGAAATGTAAAACAGAGAAAGAGGTGTACCTCCCAAGCTCGCCAGTAACCCCCGAGTAACTGCCCGCTACAACGGGAGGCTGAGCTCATGTATTCGTATAGAGTGGCTAGAGCAGCGCCACCCCAGTCGAAGCGTAGAATCCGTGTGATGTCCACCAGTGCGCTCAACAAATAGAGGGGCACGGTGTTCGCTCGATCGGCGAAGATAGTCGTCCCCAACAGAAACATGAGGAAGCCGCGTGCATATCGCTCCACCGCCTCCTGGGTCATCGGAGCCTCCTCAACTAAGGCCGGCTGAACTCTAAACTGGACCTTGAACCATGAATACCTGACGAAGCCAGGACACGCGAGAGGCGGCACCTCGCCAAGTAAGTAGATCTGAGCAGCCTCCCACTCATCCATGTCTATGTCGAAAGGGATCAGATCACCCCCTACCCTGATACCGGTGAGCATCGAGAAATCATAGGGAGTCATCGTCATGTCTCCCGCGACAGAAAAGTGGAATGAGTCGGTGGTGTCCCACTACCTCTCCACTAGAGCGACGAGGAGAGGCCTGCTCGCAATAAGCCGGGAGAGTCCCCTACAGAATGCGCCGAAGCCGGCCTGATCCACGATGTGGCAAACTGCGTCAGGTAGCTCCATGTACCAATCCCTGGCGGCGACATTCCCATACCCGCGGACAGTATGGGAATCTTCCTATTCAAAAGCAAATAGTTGCGAAGCAATATTCAATGTACAGTTTTGAAGAATAGTCAAAAATTGATGCAAATATAGCGTGTGTGCACGTTTTCAGATTCAAACAGATATCAGGTGTCGGTGTACTCGAAGTGAATTACAGCATATGATGTGTCAGTGTTTCCAAGTGGTCCAGTATAGATACAACGTGAGTACGCATTTTTAGGTTCGAGCAAACATCGGGTGTCGGTGTGCTTATAGTGAACTACAACACGCGATGTGCCAGTGTGTTTGGGTGGTTCAGTGACAATGCAACGTGTGTGTACGTGTTCAGATTCAAACAGACATCAAGTGCAAGTGTGTTCACAGCCAACTACAACATACAGTGTATCGATGTATCCGGGTTAAGCAGTTAAAGAACAAAATCAACTATGGCAGTTAAGTGTTCTACATTGCGGAAAACGAAACGGGAAAGAATATACCTCGGAAGCGCCGTATGATAGGTGTGACTCCGGCTCGCTCATAAGGAGCTCTAATGGCACGCCTCTCGCAAAACTCCGGAACTGACGAAGTCCGTCAGGAGGAAGCACGTGAACCGCCGCCCTGTAGGTCGCCGGGTCGAACGGGCGGACGCTCAAGGGAAGGAGCTCGGCCTCTGGGTCCACCTCGTGATCCGGGGGAGTCCCGCCCCATGGAATATTATCCGCCATGTCAAAGGTGGTGTGAAAATGACCGGGAAAGTGGAAACCGGATGAGAATGCGAAAGGTCAACAAAAAGTCAACCTCGGGAGGGTGGAAAATGGCCGGAAAAGCCAAAATGTGGAAAATGTGATGAAATCAAGAAAAACTTGGGAGAAACAAACTCCAAGAGGTGGAAATCGAAAAAAACTACACCGAAACGAAGTTTCGATCGGATGAAACTGTTCGAAACGCAATGAACTTCGCGAATCAAACAACTAAATGAGCCCTAAAATTGAGGAAAGCGGCGAATGGGAGAGAGGAAAATACTCTAGAGAGTGGGGGAAAGGAATTTCAGCCAAGAGAAAGTGAAAAGAATAGGGCTAGAGGCCCTATTTTATAAGACCCAAGGCGAAAGGACAAAACTGCCTCGATTTAGCAACATTTGTCCGGTCGACTAAATCTTTGTCCAGTCGGCCAAATATTTGGCCGGTGAGATGTTTTTATGGCCGGTAACCTCCCCTGATGGCCGGTGAGCCTCCTATAACCTTGTTTGGGTCAGATGTATAGTTTGGGGCATTTATTTCTCAAAATAGTGCAAGACAGTGCCTTTCCGAAGCTCAACCGGCCTCCGTTTTGACCTCGGACCGTGTCTTCTGTGCATGGCACTCGAATATGTGCAAGGTGTATCCTTTTGTCTCTTTTAAGATTCGAAAGTTGCCCTACATATGTTGTTTTGCAAACACGTGTTGAGTCATACGTCATTATGCTTGCATTGTTATGCATTCGCCATGGTCTAGCGAGACCTTAAATACGCTCGGTCTAGGAGACCTTAAATCCTCTGAAGGTGCAAGTCCTTCGGTGTTTGTCATGCCCGAACGACTTTTGGTAAGTTGCATTGTACATGTATTTCAAGCGACTCGCGTCGTCGCATATTCAAGTTCACATGCATTATCATGCATTTCAAGCGATGCGCGTCGTCGCGCATTCGAGTTCATAAGCATTTCAAGCGGCACACGTGGTCGCACATTCAAGATCATTTGCATTGTCATGCATATCACAAGACATGCATTGTCACGTGTTTGCATCAGCATGCATCAACATGCATTTCAAACAAAACCAAAAAAACAAAAAATAACAACATGCATATGTCATGCATTTCATTACCAATAGTGCATATGTCATGCATCACTGTAAATATCGCATTTACACCCATCCATTGCATATTTATGCTTTAGCATCTTGCATGTGTGTAAGTGTTAACATGATAGCATGCTTGCCATGAGGCTAACTGCTTAATTGATTAACTGCATGGATGCCTGTGGATGAAGGTTGGATTGCTTGAATTGGAACAATTCATTGATTGCGAGTTTTAAGCCCATTTGAGAGTGGCAAAACCATGTTTTAAAGCCCACTTGATGGTGGCAAAATTCACGAATTTGCCTACTTGCGAGTAGCACCTCTAAACCGTTTTCAAACAATCGAACATGAAATTTTTGTTCCAACTCAGGCGATCTAGTCTATACTTGTATGCTGTGCGCATAACATAGTAATTCTAGGTTAATAACCGGAATAAGAACACATGTGTTTTCAAAAACAAAATATCATGTTAGTAAAGGCTGATCTTTGATCGGGCGAGCGGGGGTGCTCATTGCATGACCTTCTTCTCTCGTACCCAAGTTCCCGAGCCGAGACAACTTTGGTAATCACGGACACGTGGCCTTAGGCACTAGTCAGGGTTTCCTAAATTTTCCCAAAATAAAATATTTAGGTGGCAACTCTGTATCTAGCAAAGCAGTCCATGTTTGGCACTTCTTTATAAAAATTAGTTTTCCAAAATGATCTGCCAGATTTGGACTCTTTGGTGATTTATTGGTCTCACATTGCACTTTGTGAGATTAGATTCAGAACCGTGACACGAGTACAAACTGTAGTAGCTAAGAACAAAAAGATTCGCGCCCTCGCACAGAGAGCGGAGTTCCCGGGCGGTCTACAGTTTCTTGTGACTCTACTGGGGATTTGGAGAACTTGACTCGAACTCATGATATCTTGTTTTGATTACACTTATGTGTCTCTTTGTATTGCATTTGCATTGGTGCGCCTAAGACACTGTGTTTGTCGTCTGCTATTCTTGAACGGTTTGCCAGAGGCTACGTGCCATAAGGTTGACCGGTTACGGGCTCTGCTGCGATGGGAAAACAAACCTCGGTTGTTACCGAGGCACCATTTTTGACCATTCGACATAGTGCATATCGGAAACTGTAGTGACTATTCCAAGCTAGGAAAGGTTGCTTACCCGATTATAGGTTGTTTGAAACCGTTGTGTGCGTAGTGAAACCCTAGCTCCTGAAAAAATAGGATAGGGAAACCCTACCCGTTCATAGGGGTGTTTTGGCTCTCACTTGCTTGTTATGTGCTTTTAGAATGTGCCTTTATAGGAATTCATATATCAGTTTGCAAGTCTGGGTATTAGGCCTGCGGGCATCAGTATTTGGGGAATCAGTTTTACCTGAGGGTATTAGATTTGTGGCAGTGATTTGGGAACAGTGATCAGTGGTTGAGAACAGTTCTTTCAGCTTGTGTTTGCCAACTGTGTGTTGTCTTTTTTACGCTGTTATGCTGTCCGTTTTTCTGCTCATTGTTTCCTTATCATGCTTTATTTATCTTTTTGCAAGGTAGTTTAGCACCATTGCCTTCGACCAGGCAAATATTCCCCAAGCACTCTGGGTTAGAGGTCGGAGACTTAATCGATTCGAGGATCTGATAGACGGACAAGCAGTGTTCCTTTCTTTACCCTCGGTTACTAGACGGAGGTCAGTAAGGCGCAGTGTATTAGTACAATGGTTACCAGATTAGTGGCTCTTATCCACCCCGCTAGTGAACAATTAGGCAGAGGTCTCAGTTTCTACTGCAAGGACAGATATACTGGTTGTTTAGATAGACCAGCACCCTATGGTAGGTATGGAAGAGATGATGTGTCAACTCCAGGAAAGTATGCAAGCCATGCAACAGGATGCTACCCGCCAAGCAGAATTTGCCACACGCCAGGCCCAAGTTATGGCCTAACAGGCAGAGCTGATTGCCAGACTTCAGCAACAACAATAACCACAGCAAGCCGGAACATCAGCTTCGCACCCAGTTCTTCCCCCACCAAGAGTTCCAATACTCAGGGAGACCGCAAACGTCCAGGAAAATATGGACATTCCAATGGGGCCAGCTTTGCCCCCAATCCTACCCCAGCTGTCTAAAGCGCCTACCAACCTAGTGGATACACCCTTTGAGTTCGAGGTGGATCCCACAACACTAAAAGTGAGCAAGCTATAAAAGCTGTTCAAGAAGTCTCAAGGTGTGAAATCCATTCTGAATATAGAGGATGGATACACCGACTCGGCCATGACTCTGCCAGACCGGTTTAAAATGCTGTACATAGACCGCTTTGACGGTTTTGGAGATCCTATGGTACACCTGTGGCTGTTCTCGGATATCCTAAGGCCGATGGGCCTCTCCAGATTGCAGAAGCTTTCCCTTTTAGACCGGACCCTGCCAGGTGTAGCAGCTATTTGGTATGAAAAACTGGAGGACTCTGTTAAGAGAAGCTGGGAGGAGATGGTTGAGGCCTTCATAGCTCAATACTCCTACAATACGCAGATCGAGGTCACAACTCGTGATCTTGAGACAACTAGGCAAGAGCCGAAGGAGAGCTTCTCCGATTTTGTGACCCGTTGGAGGGCAAAAGCCTTGATGATGACCGTCAGGCCGGTTGATAAGGACCAAAAACAGATGGTTGTGTGCAACCTCCAGCCCAAGCTCATATAGAAGATGATCGTCCTCCCCCTTCCCACCTTTGCAGATCTATATGAGATTGGGGTGCAAATCGAGGACGCCATGAAACAGGACCTTATTGATCATGAGAGAGAGCAGCCCAAGAGGGCATTCAATCGCAGTACAAATGTAGGCACAAACAGTGCTGCAGCTGCCAGAACTTCAGACGTGGGCATGGTCACCACTACCACCCCGAAAACCCTTGTAGCTACACCATTCACTGGTGCGTCTGGAAATAGCTCGCAAACAGCCAAGTATCCACCCCGAGGCCAGAGAACCTTTACCTCGCTGTACATGTCTCTGTCTAAAGCTTTGGGGGTCTTGATCAGGAAAGGGCACTTGAAGCCCCTGGAGCCGCGGCTACTACCAGACAAGCTCCCTTCCTCCCATAACTCGGCCAAGTGTTGTGCCTTTTACCAACAACATGGTCATGACACCGACCAGTGCTATAGATTGCATCACGAGATTCAGGATCTCGTTGACAATAGGGTGATTGTGCCTTCGGAGAAGCCGAATGTCAC